AGAGTAGTAAGGGCGTGGAATGCCCTGCCTGCAAAAGTAGTAGACTCGCCAACTTTAAGGGCATTTAAATGGTCATTGGATAAACATATGGATGATAATGGAATAGTTTAGGTTAGATGGGCTTCAGATTGGTTTCACAGGTCGGCGCAACATCGAGGGCCGAAGGGCCTGTACCGCGCTGTAATGTTCTATGTTCTAGAATGCAGATTGAGTCTCCTCACAGAACAGTGCGACCGTGCTAGGAATGAGCTTGGCAAGGAACACTCTGGGAAGGCTTTATTGAGAATGGTTGGCCACTTGAATTATCCTAACCCTACAGTTCAGTTCCACAATGGGCAGGAAGCCATGCTTTTTTTTTTAAAAGAGAGGAGAGACAGAGAGAGCGTACGATAGAGCGCGCACGAGATGGAGAGCAATAGAGGAGAAAGAGCTCAGAGGTAGTAAGAACTGCCGATGCTGGAGTCAAAGATAACACAGTGTGGAGCTGGAGGAGCACAGCAGACCAGGCAGCATCAGAGGAGCAGAAAAGTTGATGTTTCGGGTTGGGACCATTCTTCAGATATTCCTATTTCTGAAGAAGGGTCCCGACCCAAAATGTCAACTTTCCTGCTCTTCTGATGCTGCCTGGCCTGAGGAGAAATAGTTGTTGCAATGTATTCAGGACTCCAGGAGCACTGAATACAGCATCTCACAGTTCAGGGCTAAATCATTTCTGCAGCAAGGGTTTCCAGCATCAGTCTGAAGAGTCAGATTGATAGATCCCAGCACAGTTGTCCTGAACTGGTTCCCACTTGGGATTCATCCCTTGCCAACTCTTCCCACATCATCACAATGGAGGTGCTAATTTAGCATGGGTGCATTTCAATGAGTCTGACCATACTGTCCAATACTCAAGAATGATCACTTGTTAACAGAGCTCAGTGGACAGGGACCAGGAACACTGACTGGTCTTATTCAGTGGCCCTGTCCTGCACACCCATTCCAGAGTCCCATTATCATACCATTTCCCCAGTGAACATACCTATGCCAGTATTGGCACTGACAACAAGCATAGCAAAGTCCGGGCAGTAGCTTGTGAGGCCAAAGATGGTAGTCTTTAGGTACTTGTGGTGCCCTGCCAGGTCAATAAAGGTGATCATTTTCGAGGCACTTTCACAGATGACCTCTGCTGTCCGGGAATCACTGTAATTCACTACCTACAGTGAGACAAAAGCAGCACATTACAGAAACATGACTCCTGTTCGAGAACACTTACTGACAATGCAATGAGTAGGGAGGTGATGGGACCCAGTGTGATCCAAACCTTGGCCATGAGTGGATCTTAATAGTAAACCATCAATCATTATCGTGGGAGCACTCAATATCAAAATTCAAAGACCAACTGCACCAACAGCAGCTCTGGGGAGCCAGCAGCTCAGTGAGCTACACATTAGGCAGTCCTATCTCTGGCCATTCAGTTCCTTGAACCTATGCTACCCTCTGAGGAAGGGAGGGAGCGAGTGAGTGGTGGGGTTGCATAACAACAAACCCCACACAGCACAGGTCCATGTCTCCCACATTGTGGGAATGTTGCTGGACAGATCGCCTGGGGACATGGGCTCAAATCCTACCACTGCAGCTGAGGTGAATTGAACTTTAATTCAAAAATCTGGTCTCAGTAATGGTGACCAAATGTAACGCTCACAGATTATTGGAATGTTCTTTAGGGAAGGAAATCTGCCATCTTCACCCAGTCTAGCCTACATGTAACTCCAAATCCACAGCAATGTGGGTACCGCTTAACTGTCCTGTGAAATGGCCAAGTGACAACAGTCAGCTCAACGGCAACAAGGGATGGGTAAACACTGGCAGCCTCATCAACAACACCCACATTCCAAAGAAATAAAAGAGAAGGCAGTCAGAAATACCCTGGAATACTCTGTGCTGCTCATTTGGCCTGGGGCTGGGGACAGGCTCTGTCCCGTGCATCACACTGTGAGCACCAGGAGGGCAGTGAGCTTTGAAAAGGTATTCTTTCATGGTTATTGTTGCTGACACTTTATTGCCATCTTCAATTTCCCTAGAGAAGGTGGTGGGGAGCTGTCTTCCTGAACCATTGCAGTCCATGTGCACAGCTTTGCTGCGCTCACACCAGCCCTAGAAAACTTCACGGGGTAACAGACAAGATCAGGAACATTGCTCCAGGCCTGCAGCTTCCTTGGTGAGCCAGAGTCAATGGTAATGTAGCAGCTCAGTGAGACATAGGCTGGGTCACAGGCCTACCTCGCCCTTGCTGTTGAACCCCAGGATCTCGAAGCTGATGCTTGATGTTCGGCCAGACTGGATCTCATGCAGGTGTCTGAACAGATTCAGGCGTGCTCGCCCACGGCCATTATCCAGCTCACCTTGCGTCAGGACACCCAGCAAGGTTGACTTCCCGGAGTCCACATTGCCCAGAACTGCCACCCGCAGGTCAAGAAACTGGAAAGGAATCCAACAGTGAATTACAGCCACCTCAAATAGTGATGTTCATAAACCAGGATATCCTTTCAAACATCTCCTTACTCAAACTTCAGTCACAATCAGAGACATTTCTGGACAAAATTATTTTTAAATACTCCAAATTACAGACACAACACTGCAGCATTTTAAATCTCAAGTCTCGTTTGTTGATCAATGCCCTTGCAAATTTTCCCAGTCTAAAGGTGACATTTAGCCAGGTCCCACCCTGGGAGACACAGTCCTGCTGCTTCTCTCTGACCGTGTTTGCAATGCCCCTGGATTAGCCGAGCCATTTGATGGTAAGTTTTCACTCAGAACTGTCAATTCTCTGGAACGATGAGGGTACAGCTCCTTCAGTTAAAGCTATGTGAGGCCAGCCTGCATTTTGCAGCAGTCCCAGCTTTCTAGTATGCCCTCTAGCTCAGACAGCCTGAATGTAGGACTCTTACAAAGACAGGGTGATAGGACACTCACTCATCACTTTATCCATCCAATTTTAGAAGAAAGAAGTGTATTTGATTTAGAGGAAATGTGGGGCAAGAGGGTTGGCAGGATGGATGATGATATTCCTCTTTATGGGAAGTCTGCAACTGGGGAGAGGAAGCAGTGAATGTGAGTGTATTGTTCCTGGAGGGTGGTTAGTCCATGGATTTGGGTCTGCAGAGCAGTGGAGGCTGGGTGGCTGACTTGGACAGATCTTTGATTGATGAGGTAAGTTGAAGGTCATCAGGTGGGGCAGGAAATCGAGTTGAGGCCACAATCTTGTGTAGTGGAGAAGACTTGAGGAGCTGAATGGTCTATTCCTGCTTCTAACCTCATGAGCTTACCAAGTGATCATCAATCTCCCCAGTCTGTTGGCAAGACACTGTCTCTTGCCTGGATCGATGCAGCAGCAGGCAGAGTGAGGATGCCACAGGTGCCATCCTGTGCCACGTGTAAGCTTTAGCTGTTTGTTGGAGGGTTGCAGAGTAACGAGGAGGGTGTTGGGTCAGTCAGCTTGGGGCCGTACCTGTTGATCATCAGGAACTTTCCGGATCAAAACCTCAGCTATCCGCCTGGGTGAGTCCATGTCATATTCCACATTACGCTCTCGGAGGATTGTGATATCTGCTCCAACCCTGCATACGACAAGCAGCAGCTTAAGATATGAGCTGGACTACAACAATCAACAACCTAACACAGATAACTAAAGACAGACAAAACTGGTTGGCAGGCTATCTTGTGAGGAGGCTGCAAGACTCAGAATAGGTTCAAACATGAAAGATGGGGGCAGGAGGCAAACGAAAGACAGGGCAGGAGGTAACTAAGTGTCAGAGAAAGTGAAAAGATAAAATATTTCCGAAATAGTGAGGGGCTAGGAGGTGCAGGTGTCCAGTAACTGGGTGGATCTAGCCTAGGAGTCACTCAGGCCCAGCACATGGGTGGAGCAAGCAGAGACAGAGGCATGTGGGGGGAGAAGAGAAAGGGAGGCAGGTGGAAAAATGCGTGGACGGGGGCGAGGCGGCAGAGGAGTGGGGCGGACTGAGGGACAGAGGAGGATTAGGGAGGACAGGGGGGCGGACAGGGGGCGGAGGAGGGAGAGGTGAAGTGGAAGTGGGGTGAGAGACAGCTGATTCTCTCAGAGTGGCATGTCTCTCTCTCTCTCTCTCTCTCTCTCCCCCTTTCTGTGTCAGTGAGCACTGGAGGCACAGCCAGTGAACATATTCATGGCTTAGTTTGGGTAATGATTCATCAACAATGAAGTCCTGGGTTATGGGTCAGGCAGCTGAGGCCACAATCAGATCAGCCATCTGCCGTATGAATTGGTGCACCAGGCCTGAGGGGCTGAATGGCCCCCTCCTGCTCCTTTCTCCACTTGTTGCTATGGTGACTCAGTGGTCCCAGGCTTGTACCGGACCCTCATCAGGAACTGAGCACAAGTTGTTTTCGCTCACATCCAGGCCAATAAAATTGAGGCACCATTTACTTTTCGGCCATTCTGCGGAGTGTTTTCAGAGAGGCTTGGAGCTCCTCCTCAGACAGGCCGACCAGGAGACCATTGTCCTCGACCCCGATCTGATAGACAGCTTCTCCCCGACCCTCCTGCAACCGCCATTTCATCTGTGTGACCAGGTGTTCAAAGCGATACTGGGAGGGATTCACCAACTTCAGCTGGAACAAAAGAGAAGAAGCTGACAACATGGATACAGTGGGAGACCTGACAGTCACCAGTTCAGCAACATCAGTAACTCTCCGACTCTGTCCAGTATATTCAGACAAAGCAACCAGACTGATGTACTGCAGGCTAACCGATATCAGCCCAAACAGACATGAATTAAGACCGATGACTACAGTCTCCCCACTGAGTAAACAGGCACACATCCTTTTCACCAGCCTGTACAATAACAACCCCATCCCTAGAACACACCCACATATCAGAGCTACTCCCATCAGTACAAAGGTCAACATTCAATCCACAAACTCCAGCAACAGTCCAGATGGCCTCATTTTCCAGAGATGGTAGGAACTGCAGATGCTGGAGAATCTGAGATACCAAGGTGTAGAGCTGGATGAACACA